AAATGATCAAGGGAGAACCACATTAAGGGTTGAGACCTGAATTAATAAATTCTAATGTCTGAAGCAAGATGTCTAAATGTGGAGCCACATTGGAAGCAATAAGGAAAAAGAAATTGAAGTTTGATTGGACTGAAAAACACAGGGGTATGAGCAATGAGATTAATAATGATTCCTGAAAACATTCACATCCTAATTTCCCAAACTGGAAAAATGTTACCTTACATGGCAAAAGGAATGTTGCAGATGTAATTAAATTATATACTTTGACCTGGGGAGAGCACCAGGTTTATCCAGGTGGACCCAGTATAATGACAAGGATCATTAAAGTGGAAGAGGGAGGTAGAAGAGGTTAGAGAAATGCAACCTGAGGAGAATTTGATTCGCCTTTGCAAATTTTGAGGATGAAGGAAAGCATGAGCCAAGGAATGCAGGTAGTCTCTCTAGAAGCTGGAAAAGATAAGGAAATGAATCCTGAGAAAGCCCACAAAAAAAAACGTAGCCCTGGAGATACCTTTATTTTAACCCAGTGAGACCTACTTGAGACTTTTGACCTAAAAAACTGTAAGGTAATAAATATGTGTTGTTTTAAGCCCCTGAATTTGTAGTAATTTATTATAGCAGCAATAGAAAACTAGTAAGACAAGCTATAAAAAGATGGAACAATAAATAAAATTTTTAATTACATATTACAAAATTCCCATGTTATCATTGTTTATGAAAATATACTTTGGAACAACCTTTCTGGTTGTTTCTGGTTATCTTTCAATAGTTTTCAAATATGTTAAAATCATGCATACTTTTTGATCCAGAAATTGCATTTCTGGGAATTTAATAAGATAATTAAAGATATGTGGAATGATTATCTACAGAGTTGTTTGTAATAGCCTAAAATTAAGAATAACTTAAATGTTCGATGGTGAGGGTAATTGCGTAAATTTTGGCATAACCTCAAACAGCATATATGCAGTCATTAAAAATTAGTTAAATGGAAATTCATTGAAATTAGAAAAACATTCTCAAGATACAGAGTTGAGATCAGGTACCAAATATTATGTATGGTGTGATAATATTGGCATATAATATTGGATATACTCATGTATGATATTGGTGTGTTGTATCTATAATCACACTAATGCCTTAAACCGATTTTTCATATATATCAGCAAATATATACATCAGTATAGAGTGTGGGTGTACACAATGTGTTTTTATCTTATTCTTGGATTTATAAAAACACAACAAAATGTGTTTTTAGGTATAAATTTTTTCTGCCTATATACGTGCGTGTGTGTGCACATGTGTATAACATTTTATGTTTCTATCATTTCTAACCAACCAGCAACAGAAGTACAAAATGTACAGTTGTCTGTGCTTTTAAGCTCTCCTTTATACAATGTTGTAAAGTCCAACTCATTCTGGAAAGAAAAAGAGTGCTGTCTCTACTAAAAACCAAAAAAAAAGTATGGTGAATTGTGTGATTTTTTTTTTTTTTTTTCTGGGTCAGGTCACTTAAGCTCAACGTCAATCATCAAACAGTTCTTTTAAAGGGCTGCCGTTGGCAGAATTGCAAAATGCTAAAATCTTTCAGAAAACAATTTGGCAAAATATATCAAAAGCCTTGAAAAAATTAAACCCTTTGAACCAGTAATGCCATTTCTAAAAATCTAAGGAAATAATAGACAAAGGTTTTTACAAATAAAAATATTCATTGAAGACTTATTTATGTAGAGAAAAAATAGGAAACAATCTTAATGTCCAATAAGAGGGGAATTGGGCAGTAATTTAAAATAATGTTTTCAAAGAATGTTTAATTACATGGGAAAATGTGTTCAATATGCTGCTAAGTGAATAAAAGCAGGCTGTAGAATTAAATACACAATATGATTCCAATTTAGAAAATTAAGAAGAAAAATATACCAAATGTTAAAAGCAGTTATCTCTGAGTAGTAGAACTGGGTTTTAGATTTTTTTAACCATGCGTGTATTTGTACATATCCTTTGGGGGTTTCCATTTTTGAACCATATGCAAAAATTACTTTTCAAATTAAGAAGACAATGTTTGCCAGTCAGAGTACCCCATACCTTCCAGAAGCAGCTCAGAGTCAGTCGGTCTATCTACCAGAATTCAACTGGAATCCTTTCCCCATTGACCTGTCTACCGTGCCAGTCCCTGATATTTAATGACTTTGACTTGAGTATCTCTCAGAGTCCATAGAAAAGTCTTTTAGGAACACCAGTAAAGAGCCAGGCCTTTCTATAGGAAACACATCCTTTTCTCCCAGACTGAATCTGACACCTGACCATGCCAGGGAATCCAGCGCAGCACTAATCACGTAACTGTCAGAGCTAATAGTGAATACATCCTTGCAGTAGTGCGCATAGCGGGGTTGCCCTGGGCCTGGTGCTCACACTTAGGAACAGCCCATTACACAAGAGAACGCTGTTACAAGCTTTCCACCAGGTAAACAATTTTTTTTATATTATTTCTGGTCACGACTAGCTACTGACTGGAGAAGAATCTCAATTTGAGATTTACCTGTCCCAGGTTCCGGTTCTCTCCTGTGGCCCATATGTTCTTTCTTCTCTGTTACCAGCCATGGTCACTGGTACATTTTCTCGTCGTTGGCATCACCTAAAGGACAAGGGCCACCTCATTCACAGGCCTCCTCCAGGCATTCAGCACAAACCCTTGCACATAGTCCGTACTCGGTAAGTATTTTTAATGAATGGAACGACAAATGACACTTTTTAAAGAATTCTTTACAGAGTTCATAATGGCCACTTTTACTGTGTATATATGTATGTGTAGGGTTATAAAGTCTTTTTTATTCTAATGGTCATGGAAGATGGAAAAAGGTAATAATGTCTTCCTTTTTTGAGGGTTTACTGGGCCTTAGATAAAAGGGAAGAAATAATTCCATCTCATTCTAAGGAAACTGCAGAGCCTCAGTTCAAGAGATCAAAGCTGCATTAACTCTTCCAGTTACTGCCACTTACCATTTACTATCATTTAGCACTCTGCAAAAGGTAATCTGCTAAATAGTACCCAAGTGGCCTGGCAATTTATTAAGTGAGCAATTTATTCTTCTCTCTACACTAAGATCAAACCTTTCACCATTCAAATTCTCCACATTCCTCAGAGATAACAAGGTGGGAAAATATTCTTGTCTTAGGGATGGGGAAACTAAGGTTTAGTCGTGAATCAAATCAGCAGAAGAAAAAAAGAGAAGGATTTTCCATTGCTTACCCTAATTCTCTAGCACACAGTCTTTCTTTTCTGAATTTAAGATTGAGCTATTTAAGCAGTAGTCTTCTCTTTTATGAAATTAAGAGAAAGTTAAAAAAAGAAACACAGAAAAGTGCCGCTTTGGGGGCTCTATAATAGTGCCAGTCTGCAGTACTATGCAGGATAGAGCATTGGTGGAGATAGGTAAGAAAATGAATTCATTCAGTCAATGAACTAATAAAGTGATAAACAAGAATAGTTATTAAGTATCATAAGGCAAGGAGGAGTTGAAAAGATTTAGAGATATTTATTCTTTGCCAACAGTTATGAAAAGCAAATATTGCAGCTAAAACCACACTGGTACCAAAACTAAGCCATTTTGAGACTTCATCCATGCCTCCCATTGTTGTTCACATTAGGGGAGCAAAACCCCACCCAGCCCTCCCCTACCCCTGGTCAGATTGAGGTCACCTGGCCTGGCCTCACAAAGCAACGTGCCTCTCACTCCAAACTTTGAAAAAATTGTTAGTGCCGTTAGAGCCAAGACAGTAACAAAAGCTTCTGGACTGTTTTATCATGCTGTCAAGGGCCCCCAGAGGCCCACCTGCTTCATGAAAACAGTAGCAGCAATAACCACAAACTGCATGCAAGCTTCATAATATACATCATCTCATGTGATTATCATGAAAAGCCCTACAAGACAGATATTATGACTGTCCTATCAATGAAAAAAATGAGGCACAAATAAGCATGCTCCATGTTCATACAGTGTGAGTATATGACAGAGTCTGGTTTTAAACCTGGGCCTATAAAATTCCAAAATACATCTCCTTCTACGTCTGTTTTTACAAATTGTGCACCTGTATTTTGCTATAGTGTGTGGACTCTTCTAGTGAAAAGTTGAAGTGATGTCTCAGTGCCTGAATTCTATTTTACCATACTCTTCAAAAGAGTAAGCTTGTTGTAGCGATTCCATGGGTGGTTGTTGCCGAGACACAGGCCAGAGTCTTCCAAAATGAACCAAATCTATATATTTGTAAATCATTTCCAAAATGTGACTTTTGCCACAACTTATGTTTATGCAAACTTATGCCAGCAAGCTTATGTTTCCTGAATATCAAAATTAGAAAATACATTATTATGTTACCTCCATGAGATCAGGAAACTACGTCCCCATCCCACGGAAGAATTCTTTGCACACAATCTGCATTAAACGAATAGCATATCAAGTATATAATTTTTTAAAGAAAACACACAAAAAGCATTATGAAATGTCTACTGTCTATTATTATACTATTTAAGTAATTTGTTTACTGGTATTTACCAAAAAACTTGTTTATTTCCAAATTTTTACTAACATGCCACCATCAGTAACTAAAATGAGCGTGTCAGAGTGACTGGTGACCTGTCTGATTCACTTCCCATCACCAGTAGAATAAAGCATATTAACTGTAGACCCAGGAGAATTGTAGCTACAGTAGTTCCCCCTTAGTTAAGGGGGATACATTCCAAGATCCCCAGTGGGTATCTGAAACCACAGGTAGTACCAAACCTTGTATATACTGGTTTTTCCTATACATATATACCTATGGTAAAATTTAATTTATAAATTAGGCACAGTAAGAGATTAACAACAATAACTAATAATAAAATAGAAAAATTATAACAATATACTATAATAAAAGTTATGTGAATGTGGTCTCTCTCTCTTACTCTCTCTTTCTCTCTCTCAAAAATTGCAAAAATTGAAAGTGCAGAGATACGTTCGTTAGCTTACTCCTTTCTGCCTGTGGACGCTGCCGAGGAAGCATCGTTAAAGTCTCTCTTCCCACTGCCGTCATGTCTAAGTCAGAGTCTCCTAAAGAACCCGAATAGCTGCGGAAGCTATTCATCGGAGGGTTGAGCTTTGAAACGACCGATGAGAGTCTGAGGAGCCATTTTGAGCAATGGGGAACGCTCACGGACTGTATGGTAATGAGAGATCCAAACACCAAGCGCTCCAGGGGCTTTGGGTTTGTCACATATGCCACTGTGGAGGAGGTGGATGCAGCAATGAATGCACGGCCACACAAGGTGGATGGAAGAGTTGTGGAACCAAAGAGAGCTGTCTCCAGAGAAGATTCTGAAAGACCAGGTGCCCACTTAACTGTGAAAAAGATCTTTGTTGGTGGCATTAAAGAAGATACTGAAGAACATCACTTAAGAGACTATTTTGAACAGTATGGGAAAATCAAAGTGATTGAACTCATGACTGACAGAGGCAGTGGCAAGAAGAGGGGCTTTGCTTTTGTAACCTTTGATGACTATGATTCTGTGGATAAGACTGTCATTCAGAAATACCATACTGTGAATGGCCACACTGTGAAGTAAGGAAAGCCCTGTCAAAGCAAGAGATGGCTAGTGCTTCATCCAGCCAAAGAGGTCGAAGTGGTTCTGGAAACTTTGGTGGCGGTCGTGGAGGTGGTTTTGGTGGGAATGACAACTTTGGCCGTGGAGGAAACTTCAGTGGTCAAGGTGGCTTTGGTGGCAGCCGTGGTGGTGGTGGATATGGTGGCAGTGGGGATGGGTACAATGGATTTGGTAATGATGGAAGCAATTTTGGAGGTGGTGGAAGCTACAGTGATTTTGGCAATTACAACAATCAGTCTTCAAATTTCGGACCCATGAAGGGAGGAAATTTTGGAGGCAGAAGCTCTGGCCCCTATGGTGGTGGAGGCCAATACTTTGCCAAACCATGAAACCAAGGTGGCTATGGTGGTTCCAGTAGCAGCAGTAGCTATGGCAGTGGCAGAAGGTTTTAATTATTCCCAGGAAACAAAGCTTAGCAGGAGAGGAGAGCCAGAGAAGTGACAGGGAAGCTACAGGTTACAACAGATTTGTGAACTCAGCCAAGCACAGTGGTGGCAGGGCCTAGCTGCTACAAAGAAGACATGTTTTAGACAATACTCATGTGTATGGGCAAAAAACTAGAGGACTATATTTGTCACTAATTGTATAACAGGTTATTTTAGTTTCTGTTCTGTGGAAAGTGTAAAGCATTCCAACAAAGGGTTTTAATGTAGATTTTTTTTTTTTTGCACCCATGCTGTTGATTGCTAAATGTAATAGTCTGATCATGACGCTGAATAAATGTGTCTTTTTTTTTTTTTTAATGTGCTGTGTAAAGTTAGTCTACTCTGAAGCCATTTTGGTAAACTTCCCCAAAAGTGTGAAGATAGAATTCCTTCAGGGTGATGCCAGGTTCTATTTGAAATTCATTTACGACCTGCTTGGGTGGAGAAGCCATTGTCTTCAGAAACCTTGGTGTAGTTGAACTTATGGTTACTGTTGTGACCTGAAGTTCACCATTAAAAGGGTTCATCCAAGGAAAATCATGGAATTATTGGTTATAAAGATGATTGTTGGCATATCCTATGCAATATATCTAAATTGAATAATGGTACCAGATAAAATTATAGATGGGAATGAAGCTTGTGTATCAACCATTATCATGTGTAATCAATAAACGATTTAATTCTCTTGAATGAAATGAAAAAAAAAATTGAAACTGCAGATTACAGCAGAATAGTGTATTAGCAGAGCCATGCCCAGTGCTCCATGAAATACCCAAATACTAGTGTAAAATATACTTTCAGAGGGATATACACGAACATATTAATAGTTGCTATTCCCAGGTGTTGAAATTGCTAATCACTGTAATTACTGGTTTTTTAATCTCCTCTGTATTTCTGCATTTTAACAACACATCTTTTGCAATAAAAATTTAAATATAGAAACTTCCAGGAAATATATAGCCTTCAAATATATAGAAACAGTGCTAATTAATGTCTGCTAAAACTTATTGTGCATTTTCTATGTTCCAGCCACTATTCTATGTGTTTCATATACAATAACTTATTTAATGCTCAGAATAACTTATTGAGGTGGATAGTATTATCTCCTTTTCACAGATGAGAAAACCAAGGCATAGAATGCTGGAATAACTTGCCTAAGATCAAACACACTTAGTACATCAAAAATCCAGCATTAAAAAAGCAATCTCATTCCAGAATTTGCATTCTTAACCATTGTGCTATCTCATCACACAATGAATGACATAGCAATTAATACTCAGAGTACACTTGAAACACTGAAAAACAACTACCAGAAAAAATTTCCATGAATGGAAAAAATAGAAAAAAGACATTAAAATATTAGCAGTAACTGCTTTTCTGTAGTAGAATCAGGAATGGTTTCTTCTTATTTCTAGTTTTTTTGTGTTTTCTAATATTTAATAATAGCATACCTTTTGTAGTTTTCTTGTCTTTAAAAAAAGTAATGAAATCAATAGTCAGAAACTATCATATGAGAGGGCCCTAGAATACACTCTCAAGTAAACATACAAACGTTAGAGGCAAATCTTATGAAGAGCTTCAAATTCAAATTCCAGAAGTTTAGCATGCCCTTTAGAAAGTGAACAGATAGAGTGTGGAGTACTAACAACATCAAACACTGAATCAGGACTTCTGCTGAGAAGGAAAAGACAAATAGCTTCAGTATTAGCTGGAAAATCCTCAAGTTATCACAAGAGTGAGTCTTAGGAGTTCATGTAGATATCTAAACTTTAAATTAGGCTAGCAGAGCTCTAACAAGTGTTTAGAAAGGTGTAAAAGGCTTGTGTACAGGTGCCAGCTTCCATCAAAGCTCCAAAGCACTTTGAACCATTACCTCCTCTTTATAAAGATGATTGATTGATTAATTAAATGATGGTTAATATATTCTGCTTTTTGAGGCAGGAAGCTAGCAATGACATACTATAGAGTCTATACCCTTGTTAGAGATGGACCCTAAATTTGGCTCTAAGTTTTCTGAAAGCCAATTGAAAAAAGTAAACTAAGTACCCTACAATTTTCAGAATACATAAGACAAAATGAGCAAATTTCCATGAATAGGTCCCAACTAGTTTGCATTCAAGAACCAAATAGGTATTATAAGAGTTTACACAAATAAGGTGCTACGTAATATAATGAACAATAGCTTTATCATAAACATAATGTGTTTAACATACTAATTCTGTAAAGCCAAAATTTAAATCAGTAACACACACACACACACACACACACACACACACACACATCTGGGTGAGGAATGGCAGGCAATATGACTCTCTATTCTGTATTCAGCAAGCCCTTTGCTGGTCTAGTTCAATCTCTGAGAGTGTTTAAGATTATTTCTGGTCTTTTGCCCTCCCTCTCTAGACTTTTAATTTGCACAATGAGTTGAGTCTCAGGAGCAGACAGGAACAGCCCCTTTTCTACTACACACTTGTTGCTCTGGGTTTTCAATATTTATTGACTGTGACGGAGTAGAGATTATTCAGTTGTCAGGTCACTAGACTGTAAACTTCTTCAAGTTGGGATCATATCTCTTACCAACTTTTATTGGTCTGTATCTTAATGCTTAGTACAAAGCTATGAATCAGATGGTCATGTTGTTGTTAAAACTGAACTGATTTGTGTTTTATCATAGATTTTTCCAGGGTGGCTGAACTTAAGAAGTGAGGAAAAAGGAGCGGTAACCTAGTGAGCTCAAATAGGTGCTCAGGGAAGCAATATTATAAGCCTCTGATCAATAATTTTAAACATGTGCCATTGTCCATCTGCATATTTAAGGTTCACTTCCTAATTTTACCTTTGCTTTTATCTGGAATCCCTTGGATCCGAGAGACTCTGTGCTACCAGCTGGGGTCATAGTGTTAACAGCTGAAACTGAAGTTTCAGAGTTCTTCAGAATAGCCTACCCCAAAGTATAATACTATGCCAAAAGTCCCAGGGTATTTGCAGTCAACAACCATATAGGGATGGAAGGATATGACAGTGTTAGCTGTTATCAAAAGGGTCCTCCAGAGGGACAGGTATTTGCATACACAAAGAGTGCAATGCGCACCACCCGAAAGATGGACATATTTGAAGCTCGGACTTGGCGGGGCGGGGCGGAAAGGGCAACATATGTAACCTAAATATCTGTACCCCCATAATATGCTGAAATAAAAAAAAAAGGGTCCTCCAGTAATGAAAATTGGGCCAAGGGTTTGAGGGACATGTATCACACAAGCTGTTCCAAATTCTCAACTCTTCCCGCTGATATGTCCCACCCACATAGATTCCACTATTTATGAACACCAAGCCACAGTTAAGCACATTATACACAAGTAGAAAGGAAGGTCCTAATACATTTTAGTTGTTTTCTGTGTTCCAGAAAAAGTATTTTCTTTTAATATTCATAAATAAAAAAATCATCTCCATGTCATAGGGGACAACATTGTCATTCAGAATAATTAAATAATAATTTAATATTTTAATTTTTCCAGGAGGCCAGATCTCTGATTCCAAGGCCTGCATTCTTCCCCTTTCACATCTGAGTTATTTAAAATTGTTCTGATCAAACTACTTAAGCTGTGCTTTAGCAAATACAGACACATCTGTTTCCAAGAACATCAACAGCTGATGGTTCCAATACATTGGCCCCTTCCTCCAGGGACGTGGCATGTGGCTAGACTCTTTGGGCTCTTCAATTATTTTAAGCTGTGACTGTTTTACTTCCAGCCCTTGCCAAGATTAAGCACTCTAGTTCTTGAACGACTGTCATTCCGACTCCCAGGACCAGACGTATCATGTCTGTTTCACCTCAGTCACCATCAGAATCTAAGCATCTCATGCCAGCCATCATCACATGGATGATCACACTTGTAAATTTGTATTCTTTCCCTAAACTCGTTTCATCTCTGACACTTTTCCACGTGACCAAACTTTTCCACTCAGCCTTTTAGAGACCATTGTCCATTATCACTGAACTCTCTTACATCCACAATTTCTTTTCTGAATGTTCTCTTCATGTTCTTGATCTGGTCAAAATCTGAAGGTCCCTTAAAGGCATTGCTTCCTTCCATCTCTCCATAAATAAAGAAATTTCTCTTTTACTTTATATTCCTTGGGGCCCATCTGCCTTGTCTTTTTGCTATTGCCAAACTGTCTCTCCTTCAACACCCCTCCTGCCTTAGTGTTCATGCGATTAGACATTTCCAACTCTTCCTCTTCCTCTCGTCTACTAAGCTTCTGGTCATGGCCTCTCATTCACTGATAACTCTGACATCTGGATCTAGATCTCCCTCACCCATCATGTTTGTGACTTCCACTTGCACAAAGATAGACTCCAAATAACATGTTCTCTCAGTTCCCTGGCCTCCTGAACTCCAACAATCTCTTCTACCTGCCATTCCACCATGGTCATGCCAAAGACCTCGTCATCACCACTGATGGCATCACCTTCAAAATTTCAGTTATAAATAACTTCTGGCAGTTATCTTCTACCATTATATATCCTTTCAGCTCACTTATGCTAATGCTCCAGTAATTTTATGACTTTACTGAAAATTGTCCCTACCATTTACTTCACTCTTCATCTTTCCACTGACCTTCTCAATTCTTTCCTAATCCAACCCAGATTACATGGTCAGTATACTCAACCCTCTGTGAAAATCCTTAACTGCCTTGCCCCACCTGCCCTCCACTATACTCAGCTAGCAATATATCAACCCTGGTTAAACTTATTGACTCAATGTCTGCAAACAAACCATTGAGCAATGCTGGAGAAAATTATGTATACACACAATGCACTCCTTCATTTAGGACTAGAAACCTTAATTTGGCATCCAAAAATACTAATGATGCTAGTTTGTTTGCCTGTTAAATTAAATTTTCCTCTCTCCAAAATGCCTGTTTCATCTGTGTGTCCATTTGACCAGGCTACTGGATGCCCAGATATTTGGTTAAGCACTATTCTGAGTGTGTCTGTGAGTGTGTCTCTGGGTGAGATTAACATTCGAAATGGTGAACTGAGTAAAGAAGATTGCCCTTCCCATTGTGGGTGGAACTCATCCAGTCTATTGAAGGCCTGAATAGAACAAATGGCTCAGTAAGGGAGAATTCGCTCTCTCTGCCTCACTGTCTTCAAGCTGGGACATCAGTCTTCTCCTGTCTTCAGACTCCAGCTGGTACTTACCCTATTAGTTCTCCTGTATCTCCAGCTTTCCAACTGTAGAACTTCTCAGCCTCCATAACCACATGAACCAATTCCATACACATAACAGAGAGAGGGAACCAGGTCTTCAGTGGTCTAAAGAACTACTTTAACCACTGTCTAAGATTCAATGATACTTGTGTAATTTTCCTTCACCTTCACTGGTCACACCTTCTTAATCTCTTTTCTGGCTTCCACTCTTGTGTCAGATCTCTCGTAATAAAGTACACCAAGGCTCTATTCTTGATTCTCTCTTTTCCACCCTATCCATTTTTAAATACCATCTATATGCTAATAAAACCCAACTTATATCCCAAGTCAAGAAATATCCTTGAGCTCTAAACTTCTACATCCAGCTGCCTCCTTGACATCCCACTTGGCTATCCTATAGACACCTCAAACTTAGCAGGAGCCAAACAGAACTTTTGGGTTTTTCCAAAAATATACTTCCTACACGTCCATGCCTTT